GATTAACCCGGGCGCTTCGGGTCGTGCAATCGACAGGGCGCCAGTGGTTGCGCCTGTTGAAGTTTTAACGCTTAATATACTAGTACTCCTTACCCGCTATGCAGGACGCTCGATTAACAGATACCAAGTGCTATCATAGCGGCTCTGGAACTCCGGGCGCCTAATTGTGTATTGACGAAAATCGCACTCTCCTAGGCGCCTTCCATATGAAATTTTAATTATTTTGTTAACAGAAACCTTCTCGTGAATATTCTCATCAATCCCCAAAGTTTCATGGCATATGGGTGAACGGTGTGAAACTGCAATCGACTTTTATTTTTTCATATCGTATATAATGAAAAAACTAATCGCGCCCTGCCGGGGTGCCACCCCTGCGAATTCGATTTTTTTTTCGCAGATACCTCTCCAGAAATATTCTCAACAACTTACTAAAGTTTCATATACTATAGTATACTATTATATATATATATATATATATATATATATATATATATATATATATAAATATATATATATATATATATATATATATATATATATATATATATATATATATATATATGTATGTATGTATGTATGTATAGTGTATACGAGTAGGAAGGTGATTATTTCAAAACATTTTATTGATGTGTATTGGATTAAATTACTAGAAACGAAAAAAAAACATTATAAAAAGTTTAACTAGAATTAGATCACTTACGTGCTAGTTGTCACGATAGGTCTTGCTAGCAGAAATATTGTCGGTGTATCCGGCGAAAGCCTTCACAAGCTCGAATCTTAGCCACAAAATTAGAGGAAAGATCAAACCAAATACGTTTAAAACAGGGGCGGAACCACCATACCGCCAGACCCGGCAAAGCGGGGAGGGGGGGGGGGGACTAGTCGTTTAGGGGGTAATTTTCGTGTATTATTTACTTAATGGTTGTTCTGTTGAAAGAATACTCTAGCAGCAGTTGGATTATCTTTATTGTATAAACACGTTCTTTTTAAGATTTTTTCACTTTGTTTTTAAACCACTGTGAAAGCCGTGTCCTCTTTCTCCTACACTCAAACACATTTTTCTACACAATCAAACACACGCTGATGCTTGCAACATTCTTTAGAGAAAATATCAAAAATAAGTTGCAATAAAAACGACACAATTTAATAGAATGTTTTCATGACAAGTGTCCTTGTATTTTTGTTCTTCCATAGTCGCAGCGTGTATATATATATATATACATTTTTTTTTGTGGGGAGGGGGGGGGGAGGTTTTGTTTCTAACTCCACCTCTGGTTTAAAAGCGGGACAGGTGGCTAATACTGGTAATACTGCTTACTTTTCATACCTCATACACTCAATA